AAAAAAAAAAAAAAAAAAAGCCAATAAGGAAAAAAGGCACTGAAAGAGTTGTCTTTTTGCCTCAGCATAGCTATTAGAAAGCATTCAGATATTCTACTGCAGGACAAACAGCAGCCTATCCCATCCCCCTCAGCAAATCTCCTTTCAGATGCAAGACCAGGACAGCCCAACCACTCATGGTTTAGCATAATAATCTCTGGTATTTTTTGGTTTTTTTTGAGTTGGAGTCTCACTGTGTCACCCAGACTGGAGTACAGTGGCACGCTCCCGGCCACCGCAGCCTCGACCCGCTGGGCTTCAGCGATCCTTCCACCTCAGCCTTCCAAGTAGCAGGAATTACAGCCACGCGCTACCACGCCCTGCTAATTTTTTATTGATTGTAGAGATGAGGTCCGCCAAGTTGCCCAGGCAAGTCTCGAACCCGCGGGCTGAGGCAATCCACTCACCTCAGCCTCCCAAAGCGCTGGGATTACAGGCTGAGCCCGGCCATAATAATCTCTAGTAAATTTTAGGTTCCTTGTCAAGGCCGAAGATCAAAGATCACCCTTTGGCTGGCCAAAGTCATAAAAATAATAAAATGACCACCTTTGGTCAAGGAGTTTGTGAGTTGCAAATATCTGAGTTTGTGAATTGCAAGCAACCATGTGACTAACCCACCCATCTGCCTGTAGTCCATCACCTGACAGTACCTGAGCTTGCCTGCCCCTTTGTGATAACGTGGAGCAGACCATCACCCAATCACCTTAATGATCTTCCCCCATCTAGGAGAATGGTTAAAAGGACTCCACCACAAGCAACTACGGGCCATTGCCTTGCTAGACTGGTGTGCTTCCTGGCTTTGGCCTCCTCCTCCACCTTGGGGAGGTGAATCTTCTCTCTTCCTTCTCTTTCTCTTTCTAATTTACTTTTAAACAAACTTTTCTCTCTGAGCCTTTTTGTGTGTTGCAGTTACTCAGATCTCTGGGTTACTGGTGCTGCGTCCCCCCTTGCCTCTCCATCTCTCCATTCATCCTCACCCTGTCCGTACCCTAACAGACACTACCTACATAACCCTGCCAAAACCAACAACTTCATAAAATACCACAAACTGAAAAAATTTCCAGGTGCCGTGGCACACAGCTGTAACCCCAGCGCTTTGAGAGGCCAAAGCAGAAGAACTGCTTGAAGCCTGCAATTTTAGAGCAGAAAACACATCAAGCAGTTCATCTTTATTTTTTTATTTTTTGATTTGGAGTCTCACTCTGTCGCCCAGACTGTAGTGCAGTGGCATGCTCTTGGCCACCGCAGCCTCGACCTGCTGGGCTGCGGCGATCCTTCCGCCTCAGCCTTCCAAGTAGCTGGAACTACAGACACACGCTATCATGCCCAACTAATTTTTTGATTTTCTGTAGAGATGTGGTCTCACCAAGTTGCCCAAGTGGGTCTCGAACCCGCGGGCTCAGGCAATCCACTCACCTAGGCCTCCCAAAGCGCGGGATTCCAGGCTGGGCCACCGAGCCCGGCTGCGGCTCATCTTTTAAAAAATTAAAAATCAAAACAACTGTCCGGGCATGGCTACGACTGATTGTAGCACCAGTTACTAAGAAAGAATTGCTTTAGTCCAAATAGTAACTTGAACTACAATAACACAACAACGGAAAAACTATAACTACACCCAAAACGGATAATAAAAACACAAAAGAACACAACTCTCAATTCCAACGGGTAGCAAAATAAGAAACGTAAAAAGAGCGTAAAGAAGGAAAAACTCGCCGGGCTCGGTGGCTCAGCCTGTAATCCCGCGCCTTTGGGAGGCTGAGGTGAGTGGATTGCCTGAGCCTGCGGGTTTGAGACCCTCCTGGGCAGCAAGACCTCATCTCTACAATAAATCAAAAAATCAGCCGGGCGTGGTAGCGCATGCCTGTAATTCCGGCTACTTGGAAGGCTGAGGCGGAAGGATCGCCGGAGCCCAGCAGGTCGAGGCTGCGGTGGCCGGGAGCGGCCACTGCGCTCCAGGCTGGGTGACAGAGTCAGACTCCAACTCAAAAAACCAAAAAAAACCAAAAACTCGTTCAACCTGCCCTTGCCCACTACTATGCCAGCGAGCAGCTCGGAAGCAGCCACCCACCACCATAAACTGCACGGTCGAGTTTTCTACACCCGGGGTATAACAGGAGAAAGTAGCCCATGAAAACCCAACCGGATGATCACAACATCTCCTCTCCAAATAAACATAAACGTGAGCCTCCTGCCTGGTACCACTTCCTCACACTCAACACCCTATTTTAGAAATGGTGAATTGGATTACGCTTCTTCAGACCTGTCTTTCGAAAATGCAGAGTTCTCCATGCGACATTAGTCAGATTCCATCCTTTTGGTTATTTGCCGGAAAGTCAATCGCGTGAAAAAGGCATTACAACCGGCAACCACTGCGCCCTTATCTACATATCCCTGCCTCTTGTGACGCCACCCTCCGCTCAAGGTTTCTTTCCTTTCGCCTTTCCCTCCTAAACATAATTCTCTCTCGCTACCCCTCCCGACGACCCGACAGACCTCGGCGGGTGTGACGGAAGAAATTCCGACTCTGGTCTTTTCGGGCATGCGCCAAGGTTCCGTCGTGGTTTTGAAACGCCGAGTCCGGACCGTGCGCGGCTGGGCTGGGCAGGGCGGTTGGGAGACGCTGGGAGGGGGCGGCCGAGGGGGAGACGGTAGCTTCGGTTGCGCCAGGTCCGAATCGCTGCTCTACTCCACGACCCCGTCAAACCCTCAGTCCCCCTCAGTTTGTTTCCCAGAACTGTAGAAGGGGAATAATACTGCCTGGCTGCCTCACGAGGTTTCTGAGAGGGCTAAGAGGATGCGGGCAAAATGCACTGCGAGGGCCCAACCCCACGCAGACCAGTCCCGCGTCTCCACTGCTGCCCTGTGTACTCTGGGACCGGATGCCGACTTCGCCGAGATCAGGTTCCTCGGTTCCTAGGGCACAGGGAAGTCGCTTCTGGCCTGCACTGGGTAACGAAGCGAGTGCTCATCCCTTCTTTTTAGACAACGAAAATACATCGCGCGCAGTTCTGTCTTCCCTTTGCCGGCTAGGCGCTCCGGGCAAGACGATGCTGCTATCTGCAGCAACCACAGTGTCTAAGGTTTTGCTGGTATTTCCCTCTTGGTCTACACGTGATTTAAAAAAAAAAAA